CCAAGCTGTCCATTATGTGACTGTGACACGTGCTACTTCGTTTCTTCTTTGCCTTTTGCCTTCCTGGAAATGTTCCAAGATGCAAGCCCGGCATTATGGCTCTCATGTCAATGCTACTCCCGACAACTCTCCCACCCGAAGAGCACGTGCCAAGCAGATCGAATGCTGATTGTTTCATTCATACAATGCAAAACTTGCCTAACATCAACTGCACTCCTATAGTTGGCGGCGACTCCCAACAACTTCCCCGGGCCAATCATCAATGACATCATCCGAGCCCACCAAACTGAGACTCACCCACACGCGCATGCACTTGCACACACACAGCATCAAAACTCGACAAGTAAGCACGGGGCACACATACATGCAAGATCGGTTGATCACAAACATATCCAGAGAACACAGCAAACGAAGTCCGGATCTGAATCTTTAGCGAAAACATCAACGGGACAACGGACTGGATTTTCTCAGAAAAGTCCAGAGTTCTTGCACAGCACAAAACAAAAACGATGCTGCAAAGGTAACGGCTCCCCCAACAAAACACGCAAAGATAAAGAAAAAAGAATGTTCTGTGGTATTCCCTGCTATTTTCTTGCACGCGGGTTTTCGTCTGCTCTCATGCTCTTCTTTTTCTTATTGTGAAAGAGCGGCATATTATAGGGCAGTTCCTTATGCGTTTTCTTTCTTTTGTGTTTTTTTTTTTTTGGTTTTTGCGGGCGAAGCCGCAACGGGTCATCTAGTCAGGTATAAGTCTTTCACTTCACTGTCCTCTTGCCCTGCCCCTCAGCCTCTTCACTTTCGGCCTTCTAGTCTGCGCCCAACTTCTGCCAATTCAAAACCCCCGCCAGCCTTAATCAAACCCGGCTTTCTCTTTCTCCAAGCTGAAACGGTATTCACCAGTTCGCAGTAGCTGATGCAGATCTCAGGGCTCGATCCCTAGTCCCCAGCTTACCTGTGTACAGTACCTGTGTCGACCCCTAGAGTTGAACCCATGGCCTGTGTATTCGTAACAGTGGTAGACTGCCGTAGGGTCCAGAGGTCGCAGGGGTTCGAACTGTAGACCTGTCCAGTAGGAGTCTTAGTCAGGTCTAGAGGTCGTAACTGTAGTCTTCTCGAAGAGTCAGGGTCATAGCTGCTACAGTCCAGAAGGGTCAAAGTCGTAGCTGCTACAGAACCGAAAGGCCAAGTCCACGGCCTTCTGGAAGGTCCGAGTAGTGGCCTTTCGGAATGTCCCACGCTTAGACCAAGGCAAGTGGGCAAGTGGCGAGGCAAGTGGTGGCGTCTGCCCGTGCTGAGTCAGCACTCCCAGTCCTAGGCAGTCCTAGTTCAGTCAAGCAAGTACCGCATGGGACTGTGTGCACTTCAGGCAGGGGAAAGGGCCAGACCAACGCACTGCAGAAGTATAAATCAAGAGGCAGCGCCCAGCCATTCATTCATTCCTGCGTGAGCCATGCAGAAGCGCTGCCACAGCGACTTGTGCGAGGTGGTCTGCAGTGAGCCCGAAGACGAAGTGGGCAGAGAAGACGAAGCTTAGCCATAGCGATAGGGTAGTGGTGGCCATAGCCGCCGTAGCTGTAGTTGGGGTCCAGTGTGTGTGTGTGTGAGTGTTCAGAGAGTCGCGTGTGGGATATCCAGGGTGATCCATTGTATGCTAACAAAGAGTTGTGTGGGCGCTCTGTCGCCATAGCCATTGGAAGTGAACTCGTATCTGGGTTGCCATATCTCTGAGTATTGAGTGGGCGCATGTCGCCAGTTTGCTGCGCTACTGTTGCATGCATGTAAAGTGTGAATGAAAGCGAGTCTGATTGCAAAGCACCGATGGAATGGGTGTATGCTCCAAGACCGGTGCAATGATCCGACTCAACTTTGACTCCAAAATTACAATCATGCAAGTCCCAAAGTTCACACCACACTCGCACAGCAAAGCAATGAGACAGATATCAGGCGGAACTTGAATATACTATTCCAAAATACAATTTTTTTGCCAGTATCCAAATGCAAGTTCCCAGCAGTGCTGGCCGCCAAGCTCCCACACTCAGTTCTCTCTCTCTCTCTCTCTCTCTCTCTCTCTCTCTCTCTCTCTCTCTCTCTCTCTCTCTCTCTCTCTCTCTCTCTCTCTCTCTCTCTCT